CCGGTTGCGCCAGCCATAAACAGATGGGCTTTGGGGAGCTCTGCCTTTGATCTCTGGTGCCCGGGGGAGCCTGGTGCTCAATGAGTGGGAGGTGTAACATAGCTGGTCCCTTAGGCCACCCTCTCTCCGGAGGTCTCCCAAAACGATTCCCACCTTTGGTGTGTATGCAGGCAGCGCGTTTGATCCTTGTCCCTCCATCGCCGATGTGGCAGCACTGGCTGGCTGGATCCTCTCCCGAGCCCTGCCTGCCCACAGCGCACTATGTGTCCATGGGTACAGCAGCCTGTCTGCTCTCCTCCGGCACTCCCATCCCAATGGCCCTGGCAGATTTCAGGGGTAAAGAAGCACTCTGGGGTGGTCTAAAGCCTCTTGTCCCTGGGGAGGCCAAGGACATCGCCTTTGGGATCTGGGGAGAAGGAAGAGAGGATGCTCCATGGGCTGGTGTGGCGCTGCAGCGTGGGTGGCTTCCATGGGTACAGCAGCCTGTCTGCTCTCCTCCGGCACTCCCATCCCAATGGCCCTGGCAGATTTCAGGGGTAAAGAAGCACTCTGGGGTGGTCTAAAGCCTCTTGTCCCTGGGGAGGCCAAGGACATCGCCTTTGGGATCTGGGGAGAAGGAAGAGAGGATGCTCCATGGGCTGGTGTGGCGCTGCAGCGTGGGTGGCTGCTGGAGGAGCCTGCTGCAGACTCCACATTTAAGTCAAATTCTTGTCTAGGATTACAAATGCCTTGTCCTGCCTGGCCAGCTTCTCATTCCGCGCTGAAATGGCCCCTGCACCATGCAGCGGAGGGAATGAGAGTCCGTGGTCTGGAGCAGTTCCACACCCTGAGCTCGCCGGGTGCCCGAGGAGCTCCGTACAGATCTGATGTGTCTCTGGACCTGAGAGATGTGTCAGCCTGCAGCTCCTGGTTGGCTGGGGAGCTCCAAGGTGCTGCCTTATCTGTGTGGGATGCCAGTGATCCCTGCCAGCCCCACACGGGCACGCTGCGGGCAGTGGGGGCTTCAGGAGCCGATCGGAGGGACTTGATGACTCTCAAAATGGGGACAGGACAGAGGTTATGTTCTGCTGATGAGTTTATTCAAGGAGCTGACAGAGGCCAAACCGTTTGATAAACCTGCGAGACCTCTGTGGAGTGCAGGAGGACAAACCTTTTGATCCGGGATTTTCATCTTTGCGAGCAGTTTCATGATTTCCCGTAACCGCCCGTTGTGCGGGTGGGTGGTGAGTTTTGTAGGACAATTCTGGGGGCGGGGGTGTGAGAGCAAGGAGAGGAGTTGCTTAAATACCAGCAAGCTGCGATGTGCCGTGGGGGGCTGCAACAAGCTGTTTCCTGAGCTTGGGTACTGCTGCCCAGTGCTTGAGTGCAGCCTCTGGGAGACCCCAGGGGTTCCTGCCATGGCTCAGAATGTGCCCAGACCAGCTGTATGCCGTTCACCCAGCTCTCACCCCAGCCCTGCCCAGCGCTCCGTAACCCCAAATTTGCCTGCTGGGGAGTACCCGACCCCGCTAAATGCTGCCAAGGCAGGGGTTCACCCTGAGCTCCCGGGGCAGAGTTAAACCCAACGCAAAGGGAGCTCAGTGCTGGGGAGTTCCTGTGTGTTTGGAACCCTCCAGGCTGTAACCTGGGTAAGGGCATGATGCTTCCAAGTGCACGTGAGAGAAAGAGGCAAGGAATAATCCGAAACGCTGGAAAACAGCATGAAAAATGCAATTTCTGTAAACTCACAATTTTCTAATGTTTGTGGCTTTGGTAAAACTTAGAAAGTGCTGGATGGGTCCCTGTGGGTGGCTTTGGAGGGTCTTGTCAGAGCTCCTGCCCCAGGTCCCAGCTCCAGCTCCTGCTGTGCTCTGCTAGGAGGGGGTTGTACGAGCAGTGGGGATGTGGTATCCCAGTCCGCTTTTAACCACAGTCCTTTTGCCGCTGTTGCAGCTCCCGAGGTGACGCAGGAGACAGTGGAGTCCCTGATGCAGAAGTTCAAGGAGAGCTTCCGCACCAACACGCCCATTGAGATCGGGCAGCTCCAGCCCGCGCTGCGCAGCACGTCCATGGGGAGACGGAAACGCCGGAGCCGGCCCCGAGGTAGGCTGCCGTGGTCACCAGCTCTTCCTCCGGTGCCCTGGATTTGGCCATGGCCAGAGGATTTCAACTGGGGAGGAGGGCAGGAGCTCCTCACCCTCACTGCTGAGCATGGGGACCCTGGAGCTCCTCTGTGACCGGGTGAAGAGGTGCAAACCTCACACAGTGTCCTCTGGATGGTCCAGTGGAGGTGCTTGGGAATGGGGTCACCTCATTATCCAGGTTTGCTGCAATGCTGGAGTCCCTGCCAGCTGCCCCGGCTCACTGTGTGGTGGGAGTGAAACGTGGTTTCTTGGCAATTTTTAATTTTAGAGGAAGGGGTAAAGTTCATTTTGGCTATGACTCGCATCACGGGGACCTCTCTTCATTGCACTTTCCCAGTGCTTGGGTTTTTTTGGACTATTGTTTTTGGGACCACACGGAGGGTGGGAGCAGCGTTTCGTGGCCCTAAAGGCTGCGCCGTGCAGAAGTGCGCTGGGGGGATGCTGGGTTTTCTTTGGAGCCTTGATGGCCGTTGCCAGCCACTGCGGAGCAGCAGGAGGAGGGTGGCTGGAGCAGCCTCGTGAGCAGGATCAGTCCTTGCGATGCCTCTCGACAGGGAAACCGCCTCCTCCTCTTGCTATCGCTGCTTAAAACGGTAACGGCTGTGGGATAAGTGGTGAGTGCCGAGGCTGGGTGGAGGGTTTGGGTCCAGGTTTCCAGCTGGGGAGGAGGAGGAGGAGGCGTCAGGGTCCCTCCAGGGATGATGGGCAGGGAGGTCCCTTGGCCACAGTCTGCCCTGGACACTGCGGCTTTCTGGCAGTGCCAGGAACCGGGAAGGAAATGCTTTTCTTTCTGTTTACTGTTTATTTTGTTTTTCATTTATTTATGAGTCTGAAATGTGATCTTTTATTCTGGATGCATTTTCCTGCAATACGGGCCTGGAGAGGGCTTTTTTTATTATAGCTCTGCCCATAAATTATTCACTTAGTGTGAAGAAAATGTTCTGACTCTTTAACTGGTTTAAATTATTTGGTTTGTTTTCTAGTAGTTACTCAAATAGTATATCTGGATTTTAGCGTGCATGTGTGTGGGTGCTTTGGGGTCCACAGTGACTGTCTGCTGAAGGTTCCCTGACTCCTTGCTCCAACCTCATTTTTTTTTTGTTTATTGTTGTTTTATTTCACTTTTAAACTGCCTGAAGGCAAGAGTTTTTTTGGTCACTAATGGAATGAATCAATTAATCCTTTCAGCTAGTCTTAGGAGGAGACACGATGCCTGGTTGCTGGCAGAGCCCCTGGCAGCATGGCAGTGCAGTGTGGCCCCCGGCCCAGCTTGGCCAGTCCCTCACCTCTGGGGACAAACACCCGCCATCTCCCACCTCCCCGGGTTGGTGCTCCCCAGCCTCCCCACAAACCTCTGTCTGTGCCAGAGCACACGCCAGGGCACCGGGACCTCTTCCTAGCCCTCGCCCCATCACTGCTGCCCCCAGACCCTCTACCCATCAGAGGCCATGGGAATAGTCAGTGGATACCAGGGCAGAAGAGCCCTTGATTGCCCTTTGTTTCTGCCCAGGCTTGTGTTTCCTCCATAGAAAAGTTGGAGCCTGACTTGTGCCCAGAATCTCTGCTTGGGATGGGGAGCTGAATTTTTCCTCCAGCTGCTGTGCCCTGCTTGGCAACCCGCTCTTGGTGCTCAGCAAGGTCACCCTCCATCCCTCCCTTCCCACCACAGCCACCAGCACCATCAGTCCTCAGCCACGTGCGGTTCAGGCAGGGCTGCCCAGCGGGTCCCCAGCAGCAGACTCAGCCAGACCCATGTTGGACAAAACAAATTGTCTCCCTTGAGGCTCTTGTGTCATTCCCTGTGCCAGCGGCAGGGAAGGGATCCCTCGGGAGCCTGCGTGCCCAGGCCCCCCCCGCCATGCCTGACACTGTGTCTTGCTGTCTGTCTGTCTCCCGGGATACTGGGTTTGTGTCTCAGGTATGGTGGGGTGTCCAGTCCAGCAAACCTGCACCGGGCAGGTGCTCGAGTAGTGGGGCTGGGGAGCGGCTTTGGGGGCAGGATGTGGGTGAGAGGAGGTGAGGAGGATGAGCTGGGCACCGGCACCTCGAGCTGCTCTGGTCCTCAGCTGGTCACAATGGACCCAAAGGTGCTGCGAGACGGGTGGGGATGTCCTGCTGCATCCCAGTGCTGCGGGGCTCAGCTCCAGTGGAGGTGAAGAGGGTGGCTGGAAGGGCCCGGATTAGCCGGGAAGTGCCGCCGTGGCAGTTCCCTTGTCTGCGCCTGGAGCAGGATGGGTCCCCACGATGTCGGTGCCCACTCTCCCGTGGTTTCCCTGGCTCTCTGTCCCTCCCAGCAGCTCCTCCATGGATGGCTGTGTGTGCTCTGGAGATGATGCGGAGCTGGGGCTGCCCTCGGTTGCCTGAGGCGTGACATAACCCGGGGGCTTTGGGAGGGGACGGTGACTTTGGGTGTTTCTGCTCATGTGAGCCCTCACCAGCCCACCCTAGAAAAACAATCATCAAAAATCAGTCAACAGCCCCAAAAATCAAGCCAGTTCCAGTGTCTCCAGTGCACATCTCCCTCCCCAAAGCCCCATCCCATCCTCCGTTTCTTTTAATTTAAATTTCTTGGCGCTGGCCAAAGCCGTGGCCGGGTGCTGTTGCTGAGACCGTATCCCCACCTTTCCCTGCTCCTCTCTCGTGTCGGAGGTTTTGTTTTTACAGTTATCCCTCGGGCAGGCGGGCGGTGGGGCTGCTATCGAACGGTAAGGCTAAACGATGATATCACAGCTCACGATGTTTGCATTTTACATCCATTGCAAACACAAACCCTTCGCTTCATTAATCCTTTACAATCCGTGGGGTTGTTTTTTTTTTTTCTTCCCCTCCCCCTGAATGAAATTGTCCATTTGGGATGCATTTATTTCCTTCTAAAGGCCGCGTGACAGTTCCGCTGATGGAGTTTGCATCCAACTTTGTTACTGGGTAGTGACAAGCCGGCCTGACGGATGCACGTGTGTAATTATTTTCTCATGGTTCGATTTAATTAATGCTTAACCTCATCAGAGCCCTGCAGCTGGAGCGCTCTCCCTGCAGGAGCCCTGCTGAGTGAAAGGATTTTCTCCTTTACGCAAAGGCTCTGGAAGGGCTCCGAGTGCTGCTCCTGCACGAGGATGGGAGAAACCAAACCAGAAAACAACCAACCCAACACAAATAAATCTGGGGTCAGCTTCACCTTGCTTGATTCCTGCACCAAATGCCTTTAAGCTGCTGCCTATTGCTGGTCATTAAACCTGATTCTGCGCTGAGAGTTTCTAAGGGCTCTGGCAAAGGTCGGATTTTGCCAAGAGGATGGATGGAATCACACCACCCTCTCCATTTACAGCACCGGAGAACTTTGTCTTGTGTCATGCCTTTTTCATATGAACTTTCTCCCCAAACACTTTTAACAAGTGAAGTGTGTTTAGAGTTTATAAATAATAGAGGGCAAGGGAGGATGGTGAGAGCCGAGGGGCAGGAGGGCTGGGCTGGAAGGTGGATATCTCCACCGAGGACTGGCGGCACTGGAGGGAAGTATGCTGCATCCCAGAGGGGCTGGGTTTACTGCTTCCCAAAACTCAGCCCAGGCTGGTATCCGGAGCATCCCAACCTGTCTGTGTCAGAGTGCGACTTAAACCAGGAAGCGATGCCCTGGGAGAGGCAGCGGAGCCGAGCTCGAGGCTGTGGGGTTGGCTGATGGACCACCCTGCACCCCCGCCCTGAGGGCTGGCTGGGATGTCGGGGTGTGGGGCTGGGGTGTCGGGGTGCGGGACTGAGGTGTCGGGGTGAGAGGCTGGGGTGTCGGGGTGCAGGGCTGGGAGGTGGCCTTGGGGGAGGCCGGTTTGCACAGAGAGGGGGTCTGGTGCCCTCTCCTGGGGCATCCCTTTAAAAGCACTCTGGCTTTGAGGATAAATAAGTGATTAATAGATCCCTCTGGCTGAATTGGGATGCATAGTTGAGCAGGGCAGCGGCTTCTGGTGGTTTAGAGGTCCTGGCTGTGCCCTGGGG